AGCGGTTTTATTGGTTTGTTTCTCTTCCTATTAAAAAAAAAATTAAAAAAGGGGGGGGGGGGAAGCAGAAGAAAGAAAGAAAAGGAAAAAAACAAAGAAAAAGAAAAAGGAAAGAGGAAAGGGAAAAGAAAAGGAAAGGGGGAAATAAAAAAAAGGAAAAGGAAAAGAAACAAAGAAGAAGAGGAATTAAAAAGGAACAAAGAAAAGGAAAAAGAAGAGGCAAAAGAAAGGACAGAAAACCAGGAAAGATAGAAAAAAGGAGAAGAAGCATAGAAAACAGGAAAATAGAAATGAGAAGGAAAAAGAAAAAAATAAGAAGAGAAGAGAAGAGAAGAGAAGAGAAAAGAAAAGAAAAGAAAAGAAAAGAAAAGAAAAGAAAAGAAAAGAAAAGAAAAGAAAAGAAAAGAAAAGAAAAGAAAAGAAAAGAAGCGAGGTAGAGCGAAGGAAATAAGGAAAGCAGAAAGGAGAGAGAAGAGCTCGCGGCTTTCCAGTGGCCTGGCTGCAAACACCTTCCCATCTGCTTCCCAAGCCCCCTCCCGCCTCCCACCCACATCTGCAGCCCACCCTACCTCTCTGCGAGTAGCACAAGTCACCTGGATCGGCTGCCTTAAAAAGTCCCGGCTCCCGGCGATGTTTCTCGCTAGCTGGCCGGGGGAGGAATACATCCGAGAAGGGCAGCGGCATCCTCTCGACAGGCGAGCAGTCCAAACGCCTTTCTCCAGCCCCGTCTGCCTCCCTGACAATCTGCTTTAAGTTACAGGGGATGTTTCCGAGCGCTGCTTTACCCCACTTCGGGGCAGATCCTCCTGGCCCCCCGCTAAATACGTGACCGACAGGGGCTGAAAGTTTTGTGGCAGGGTTTGGCTCCGCACCCACCTCGGCTCCACCGGGCCGGTCCGGGCGTGCGCCTCGTTCCCCCCCTCACCCGGTGTCGGGCTGGCTCGAACCCATTTACGTTTTTAAAGATGTTTTCCATTTCCTCCGGCTCTCCCTACCTATGTCTCGCCCTAGCTTCTGCCTCTGCTCCGGGAGCCGTGCAGCCCGAGGAAGGGTCGGGGATACTTTCGCCGCCCGGCCCGGCGGGGTGGCGGCGGGGCCGGGGCCGGGGCCGGGG